TATGTTGTCTATATGGCTTTCTGTGTTTTGTAATAAACTTTTTTTTAATTTGATTTTATTATTTATGAAAATAATGCTGCTCAAATATGTAAAACTCCTTACATTTACAACATTATTTCTTCTATTCAAAATAGAAAATAGGTTCGTGAATCAAATTTAACAGGTATGGATATATATCTTTTAGTTTGTCCATGGAGACCTCACTTATCAGAAAATAAGCACAAAAAATTTCCAAGTAATTATATACCTATTTTATAGCCTATTTAATGTACCTATGCACTTATACAATTCATTATACCATTGCATTATATATTATGATAATACATTATAATACATTATACCAGAGATCCACAAAGCATATTAAAATAATCATACAGTTTATTATTCTTAGACTTTGTGGTCCCTAATATAAACAAAACTATTATAGTGGTCCATGGTCAAAAAAGGTTGGGAACCACTATACTAAGTATTGACATAATCTCTAGTCACCGGTAAATCACAACGATAAAATAAATCAAGTAAAGAGCAGCGATGATAAAACATAGACTTGTCTAAAATCTGTGGTCAAAGCGAGTATGCTCTTATTTGCTTTGTTCTATTAGGTAGCACTCTGCATTAAGCGCCCTTATATCCAATTGCAATTCGATTTTCTGTTTGCGTAAAGTCCCCAGGCTTTCCAAAGCTTACCACTTGAACTCATATGGACGTGAGTAGGTATTTTACAACATTTTTATACTCCGAACAATAAATCCTTTATCTCCGATTTCGGTTCCGGATCAACTTCCGCCTGAATTTTTGGGTCTGCCCATGTATACACTCCTGTTTGATTGAATCGAATATAACGAATATTATATTGCAATAGGCAATAGTTAAGAATTATCATTATTTGTGTTATCCTTACATAAAAGGTTGATGCGAAGACCCAGTTACTGCTTATAAAGACGACTCCATGAAGGTATCCACAATATGATATAATATATTATGATTTATTTTCATATTTCGCATATCAGTGAAGTACAATTTGATCGAACTTAAGATATTCCATTGAAATGTTGTCTGTCGTAGAAATACTTGATTAAGTTAGGCTACTCTAGCTGCTCATAAGCTACAGGTGTACTTATTGATCTCTAGTAATACTAGACTTAGCTTATCTTAAATCTTATATTGATTGGAGATTTATTTCTGAAACATTTTCCAACTGAATCATCTTCCAACGTATATACCATAAGAATTAATTAATTTCAAAATTAATATATATAGTTTCTTCCCTAATAAAAACCTGATGAAATACAATTTTTGAACAATTGTTTTATTAATAATATTTTTTGTAGTATATGCACATCATATTAGTATATACATTGTATACATAGATGTGATAGATATGTGTATTGATATCTAGCGAAGCTTTAGTGCAATGACCTCATGTGCTTAACATACCTATTTTCATAGAGCATAGCGTGTAATAAGTATGTAAATTTATATATGTATACAAATATATATATATATATATATATATATATATATATATATATATATATGAATATACAAGTGGATTTTATCTGTTATATATGTACGTAAGGAGCAAATTTGTACGTTGTAAAATTGTGTAATTTTGATATTACATTTTATTTGGGTATTGTATATTTTATAAATTTCAGGACAGACATACAAATACACACAAAGTAGCATGCGTACAGATGCATAGATACATAGATACAAATTTATATATTTGGCTATCAATTAAAATCTTTATGTCCAAATAGCCTCGAGTCAAAGATTAAAAATTAATTGTATTTTAACTACAAAACACATTGGCACATATTGAGCAAAACTTCTGACCAAAACGCCCTCCTGAACTAAAATAGAAAAGTGTGAAAATCGAACATAGAAAAATTAATAAAAAAGGAAGAAAAAACTTTGACCATACAAAAAATTTGGACTACTGAAATACTGCAATAATGGGTTAGCTTCAATTTTAAAAATTAAATTAAATAAAATATTTGTACTTTAAGGTTCACACTTAGTCATAAATACACGGCTTTAAGATAGAGAAGAACGATACAGGTGCAAGAGAGTATATAAGATATGTTGACAGTTTTTAATTTGGCATCGACCAATACCAGATCCGTCTGTATGAGCACAGAATCGTTATGTCTATAGTGTTGTTAAAGTACTCAGGATACGGATACGCAGAAGATTTTACTCTAGTTAGTTCCACATCAAAGTTTTAATTATTTTCTTATAAATTAATGGGACCACTTATTGATTGTGGGAGTTTACTCATAAGACTGCCGGAATTCATATCGAAGTTCCGATTATTTGCGAAATCCATAGATTTTTGTTACATTTTTACTTTAATTTTGATGAAAAAAATATAGAAGCTATATTAATAGAGAATACATATAAAATTTTTATTTTCTATGACATTAACAAACCTTTAATTTATTTAGGGCGCAAACATTAAAACTACTTATTATTGTGATTCATTAAATCATTGAATTTTGTTAAATTACATTAAAAGAAAACAAAAAAAAATAGCTTAATTAATAAATCGATAATTATTGCTAGGTTCTCAAATATTTTAAATGAACTGCAAATTGTTCTGGTCTTTCATTTTCAATATAGCTGGTCATTTTCTTTTAATTTTACCTCATTCATTGCTCTGATCGAATATTTCACTAGCTCTGCCTTTTCTTTATTGAGTTTTCTTAAGTGTTGAACGTTCATTAAGTTGTTCATCACTTGCATTTTTTTTATGAATGCATACTTAAGCTTGCACATTCTTTTTGAACACAGAAACCTTCGAAGCAGCTTCTTAAACAAAAATATAACAAAATACAATATAACAAATATATATACATATATAACTTAATAAACCGAATTTTTTCTGGAACTCATACGTCGAATGGTTCTCGACTGTTACTTTCATTCACCGTTCGTAAATCAATGCTTTCTATTGTCCATAGTCTAATTGTACATTGTAATAATAATTACAAAAATATTAATTTTTTATGATTTAACGAAGAACACATTAAGAATTATGACAGTAATCCTAAGAGGACATTATAGGTAGAACACAACCCCAAATAAACTACGGATGCGACTGCGTCTGATATATATACAAAAAAAACACATAACTTCTAACGATAAATTTAGGCTCAATTATATAAAACATGTACTTTTATTTATTAAAAAAAAAGACAGAGAATCAGTCGAATAACATGAAGGGATTATAATAGATCTTAACATTGTAGAGCTGTATGTTTCAATAAATGTTATAATAATTGCATTTGAATATACCGGTTATTCTGTATGCTTACCTTAATATATTTAATAAATATATTTATTAATTGAAATAAAATATGTTGTTATTTATTCATATCATCATTTCTCTCAGATTTATTTGGTTAAGATAAATCAGGAGAGTCCCAATTGACAATCCAAAAATGGAATCAAAAATGAAAAATGGAAGTAGCCAGTCACTTATACAAAGGTACAACTACTTTTGAATAAAGCACCTACATGTTGAAGTCTAGTTCAAGTTAAAGCGGGTATTACACATCAGACTTGGACAAACTGTTGCGTCCAATGTGTAATAGCAACATTTACAGGTATGACGAAAAGTCGGATGGAAATCAAAATATTTTGATTTACGTCCTACTTGCTCGTGTTTTTTTCGTATACAATCGGATTTTTTTTGTGTTACATGCATACATACATGCCTTCTATTTTAAGGGATGGAAGCGAAAACATGACTTAAATGAATGCATTATTTTATTTTGTAGTATATTTGTGGTTTTTTTTGGCGGGACGTATTCAAAATAATGTCAACTTTGTCGGATGTGTAATAGCAAGGGACGTCGCACAAGTTTCACAACCAAGTCCGATGTGCAATACCCGCTTACTTCGGTAAAATGACGACCGAATTTATATTGCCTGTAGGTCTCATAACAACGCACGAGCTCTATTGTTAGTATTATAGAACAGGCATAATTTAGATGTTAGGGATACTATGCAACAGATTGTTAAATGAAGCAACCTGGTATTTGATTTTGATCCAATCTTCTTTTTAAGATTGGATTGGATCTGCATTAATAAACAACGCAGATAATCTGCTGACCTTACTTTAGAAAAAAAATAGACAAAATCTATTGTAGTTGTAATGGAGAGGCACAATCTGCGAGGCGCTCTCTAAAGCACGCTGGCACAACCTGACGTAGTTCAATAACATCCTAAATATTTTTGTAATCGGTAATTCTATAACTTAAACAATAATGGAAAATATCTGGCATAGCTACGATGGGAGATATGTGATATTCTATATCCCGGTGTTAAACATTTAACACATCTGTTTTAATGTAATTTTGAAATTGTTCTAAAGGTTTTAATCTCAAAATAGGGCTCAATGGCACCTCTACCTTTTTTATAAGAGAAAAGATATTTCTTACCGTCTCTACTTCTAAGTAATGAAAAGTATTTGATGCATCTTCTGTTGTGGGTTACAAATTTTAAAATTTGAAAATAAGAAAACTTTCATTTTCAATAAACCTTTTCTGTCTGTAATATAATATTGTAATATTTTATTAATATAAAATTTTATCTTGTCATTAAATCTTCGGCAATGGAAAAACAAGTCCATGGAATTCTCATACTTAAACACTTCACTTTTACTCGTTCTCTCCTATTTGGCTGCTCAGCAGCGAATTTTGTTGGCAAACATTGGATTTGCATAATTTTCACTCTGCGCCAGTTTCTGTCCAAAGACCCTTGGCTTTGTCAATATTGCACACGAAATTGCAAATTACTACACATTGCCCTGCAAAAAAACTAATGCCCATTCAAGCATAAGATTTGCTTTGCAGACATTTTCATAATCACACCAGAAAAGCAATGGATAAACATTGGTACCGCATTGTAACCGCGTCTGATAGTTATATTTGCGGTCAATGGGAAATTATATAAAAGCGAAATATTTTGGAGGTGCAAATTAGTCGAGAAGTATGCACCATCAATTGAGATTGTTGTTGATTGTAGCGCTGCTCATATCTTGCGTAGCTGGTAAGAAGAAGGAAGAGTCGTCGGAAGGCGAGAAGGAGAGTGGTGAAAAGTACGGTGAAGAAGATTATAAGGAGAAAGAGCACAAAGGTGATAAGGGACACAAAAAGCACTCAGAATGGGAGTTGGATGAAAAGAAGCATCATGAAGAGGAAGATCATAAACATTACTATGATGATCATGGAGATGACAAGAAACATGACTATAATGAGAAGGATGAACATGGAGAACATAAAGAACATGGTGAACACAAAAAAGGTGGAAAGCATCATCATAAGAAAAATCATAAAAAAGGTCATAAGGAAATGGAGTATCATAAGAAATTCAATAAGGATGAATATTATAAAGAGAAAAAATTCTACGATGACGAAGATAAAGGTGGACATCATAAAAAGTATGGCAAGGAGCACAAACACCATGCAAATGAAGAAGGTGAAAAGAAGCATGGAGAAAATTATGAGGCTGGAAAGAAAAAATCAGAAAAGAAACATAAAGGGCACTATAAGAAAGGACATCATGATGAAGACCATAAAAAATTCAAAAAGGAGTATAAACATGGCGACCATCACGAAGAACATGAGAGCTATGGTAAAAAGGGCAAAAAATCCGGCGGTAGCAAGCATGGACATAAAAAAGGTGATCATTGAGGTAAAGTAAGTGATGAAAAAATGTCAAAACAATAAAAATATTGTGATTAACTTAACAACTAAAAATATTAGTAATAATATATAATATATTGTGATTATAAGAATAAAATAAAAAATTCAAACAACAACTTTAATGCAAATTAGTAGTTTGGACAGAAATAAGATATGTCATGACAGATGTAAGTAAAAAAAGAAGAAAATAAACGTTCAATTAAATGAGAAGTAAAAATATTAGCACAGTTCTATCATACCGTATACCGTATAAGTGCACTTAACAAACTTAAATCAGAACTTTATCATATATCTATGTCTGCTTGATTTTTCTAAGACTTTTGATCGCGTTGATCAATCTTTGCTTTGCAAAAACCTCTTCAACACCTTCTAATTCTCTAGGCAAAAAAAATAATTTTATTTATTTAACTGGAAGGTCGCAATCTATTGTGGTGAAGAATGGGTTCTCAACTTTTAAAAGTCTTCATTATCATATACAGCACTTCTGTTAAATGTTTACGTTTTCACCTAAACACTGACTTGCTTGTGACCACGTAACTCTTGTATTTCGGAAAGTATTCGCATGCTTTAGATGTCTTAATCTATCAGCGAAACATACCCCTGTTGTTACTCGCTGCATGTTGGTTAAACAGTTAATAATTCCTATTATTATGATTTCCACTTTAAGTTAAGAAGCTTAATCAATTTCATGACGCGATATGTTCACGGTCTCAGAAGATATGATCATTTGAGTAGTTGAAATGCAATCTTCTATTGATTTTCAGTTGTTTGCAACAATCACGATCCATTAGTTTTTTTTTGTTCATTATACCCAATTTTAATTTTGCTTTCACTACAAGTTATTTCTTTATCCATTCGGTCAGAGTATGGAACTCACTTTCATGTGCAACCAGGAAGACAAATAGATAGGAGCTTTCAAAAAACTGCTGATTAATGAACTATCTCGACATCACCCGTATTCAGACTTCTACTTCTTAATTATTATTTTTTAATTGCTATTTTTTGGCATCTTTTCGGTTTGCAATATGTAATTATCTGTTTTAAATTTTCAATTTAATATTTTCTAAATTATTTAATAATTTGTAAATTGTTATATATTGTGTATATATAATTTATCTCTTTTCTTGATAGTTTTTAAGTTAGTTCTAAGATGATGAAACAAAATAAAAAAAAATTCATAACCTCACACAAGAAATATAATAATCATATTGTAGTCAATTACACAATAATTACATTTTATTACAATACTTTTCCAACAAAAATTATACAACATCTTTACACCGCCATTAAAATTCACAGAGCACAATAATTCCCACCTCATCAATAATAGTGCTGTTAGCAACCACAAAAAGTTGTGCTTAATCTTTAATGCTTTTATGCGCTGTAGTTTGATTTCTAAATAAGTTTTCGGATATGAAAAATTAAAATCAAATTTGACTTTCAATCCGATTTTGCTTCAACTTAAATAAAATTGGCAAAGCTTCATCAATCCTCATTTAAGGATAAAATATTGCCCCATGGAGAAATTTATTTAATTGCCAATTTGAATAGAATTATTTGTTTCCCATCTACACATTCTGTGTCATGCCTGCTACAATTATACAAATCTTTTCATCTAGATTAGCTTTTAAGGATTCACATGTGAGAAAAGGTAACACAAGGATTAAGGCTTTCGTACAATGAGCTTCTTGTTGCTTCTAGTAAACAAGAAAAAGCAAACTGTTTCAGTGTTTGTGAACAAGAAAATGGCTTAATACTACAGTTAATTGTTTTCTGGTATCCTAAGCTCAAAATTCTATAAAGGTTAACAATGGGTCAATGGCGTAGTAAGTGTTGAGCTAATGGAGATATGTGCTAAAAAATATTTTTTGACAGTGTTCTTGCAAGGCATTTTCTATAAATAAAATTGTCAATTGGAGAGAGTGTAGGGTGTATTTTTTATTGCGCCTACCCTATAATACGCCACCCCAATGGATGATATTTAATAGATAATCTAATGAAACGTCCAGTTTATTTCACTTTAGGTTAAATTACATCTTATTTATTCTGACCCATCAAACTCAGCGCCATTTTAAGACTTAATGTAAATGATACTTTGGTACACTCTTTCATCACTCAACACCTATTAAATATCTTAGTTATTTCTTGAACTATACAATAAAAAGAAAATTTAAAGATAAATACATTAATAATTATTTTACTAGAAAATTCTAATTCTGCTATTATTACAAGATAATACAAAAGGTTTCATCTTTTGCCTAAACGTCTATTATATGATAGTAGATATACTAAAGCTATACTAACTTCTATACTCAACTACGAACTAATGCATCTATAATATATGTAATTAAAATTATCGTCATCTCTTCAATGAACAGCAAGCGCTTACGTTTTTCAAGGTTTAAAGTCTGGCCTGTTTGTTAAACGTGAAATCATGTTTCGATTTCGAAAATGCAGTTCTAATTCTTGTGGAGTGCTAAACAGTTACTATCCTAGAAACTTCGTATGATCTTTGTGCTCGAATGGCAGTTTGACTATCTGATAGTATGGATATGTCCCATCTTTTGTATCCGCAGTATAGATCGAATTACCTACATCATACGGTATAAAGTAAAAGAACTGGAAAGTGTGGTAATGTCGTGGCTTCAACATATTTTAAAATTAATTAAAATTTGAAAGAATTCTTAGCTGAATGAACTTCCACGGCCCGAATGTCGCAAACCCCTTGACTATGATGATATCATCAAAGGTATACATTTTATCTTAGAAAACAATTCACAATTTTAAGAATAAATTGCCACATATAGGCCTTATAACATTCGTATTGTGTCTTGAAAATGTATATCGTAGTGTAAAGACTGTAAAGGCTGTAAAGGACTACGATAATCGCTTTAAGAAGGGTACCTCAGCTGAGAGTTTAATGTCTATATTGCCAAGTACTTAAAATTAAATAAATTTTAAAAACTTTAGTTAGAAACTAAGCCAATTGTGATGTCAAATTGTAGTTAGCAATGCAAATAAAACAATAAACATTGCAAATCTTCAAATTGTTTTATTGTTTTCACTTGTTGAGAAAAAAAAATTTGTATGTCAACTAGCGAAGCATCGGCCTTCTTATACAAAACCAATTTAAATCATAGCAGTGGTCAATTTGCATTCTCACCATACCTAAATCGATCCGCCCTGATTTGCATGACAGCTGACAGGATTACAACGGCTGATCCTATTATGCAAAAATATAAACCCAGGCTCACAACTGCAAGACAAAACAATCGAAAACAATTTAGGGTTGAGCGTAGGCTGCTCATATTGATTGTAGATACGTACTTGCTGTGCTGCAGACGAGGCAAAGGGAAGAGTTTAATGCTATGCACGCTAAGCGGGAGGATCTCATTACTTTTTAAATGGATTTCATTTAAGATTTTAATTGATCTTAAAATAGTTGCACTATCTCTCACAACAATAAATTGAAAGTTTGTGAAAAGAATCCCAGCAGGAATTAGAACTCAAAATAAACTTCCCTAATATCTTAATTATAAATAAAATATTTCGACATCCTTAAAATTAAATTTTAGTAATAATATTAATGACTGTAAGAAATTCACATTTACATATATTACGATTATGATTGCTAGCCTCAAAATCGTTTAGCTTTTCCGTTCATAAGTCTCATGAAATCATAAAATCCTTTCAAACAAAAAAAAATTCCAAACAAAAAGAAAACAATTTAAACATAACAAAGCGACGAATTCAATTTTAAATCCAAAAAATAAAAAAAATGTAAAAAGGAGAGCAAAATACCGATTTGTTTGCGTTATCCTTTACTGGTAATTCCTCTCGGAAACCATAAAAAACAGCATATCTGATTCAGATATTCATTCACTTGATAACGCATATAATTAAATTTACACATAGGACACACACTCACGAACTGCTGGAAAATAATCCCACATATTCCGTAGAGCAGGATCAGGACACAATCATCCTGTCGGGTTTGTGTTATTTTATGCGAAATTTGGGGTGGCACGTATGTCAAATGTGAATTGAAACGTTGCTAAAATATGGCAAAATAACAAAGGACAACGAAACCAAGGCTAACAATTGCAAATCAACAATATTTTCACCATCAAATCAAAACAACAAACGCAACAACAATTTGAGCTCACATCGTCGTTAGCAATGTTGTCCTTGCCTTAGTGACATGCTAATATGGAGCTAATATTGTATTAGAGCCGATGGTGTTAGTGATGGGAATGTTGATGCGGTTGCTGATAGCATGGATGAGGATGAGGATGAGGATGAGGATGAGGATGAAAATGAAGATGATGATGTCATCTAGATTGCCTAATAGCAGTCGCCGTAGCAACATTATTTACTAGTTTACGCATTATTTACTTTTCTCAAGGAATAACCAAAATCACAACAAAGACGTCAAAACGAAGGAATATGGCTTCGGCCAATATAAAAACAGAAAACCCGAAATAGGTCTGAATAAGACGTGAAACTGTCCTGTACATTTAAATGTTAAAACACAAGTTTTTCTTCAGAAAATTTTTTTAAAATTTAAGTAAAGTAGAAATATCACTCAAGCTTCGATTCTACTCATTAAAATAGTATCCTTTGTGGCTAGATATTCGTTTCATAACATTTCAATGTTTTTTTTTTTGCAGAGCGATTTATCTTTGAACTTAAAATAAGCTTCACTAATTGACAATCGTTTTTTCATAGAAGTCAAAACTCTTTCTTCTCAGCTCACGTTTTAAATCTTTATTTGTTTGTAGCCAGATTCGGACAATACATTAAATAGGCAAGTAATTCAGAATAACATAATTCGGGCTTTTCTGTTCCTTTAAACAGGCGTGACTCCCCAATTTAAGTAAAGAAAAACTAGCATGACTAGTCTGTAAAGTTAGTTATGTGCCTAATTTTAAGGGATGGTGGCCGTCTCAGGTCATTAAGTCAGTTAGAAATAAGGCTTCAAAGATATAGAATCTTTTCCAAACCAATAATGAACACTGACTCATGAGGTGGAGTACAGTTTTCTCCTCATCCATAGAGCCACAACCTCAACAAAAATCGTTAGAGAGCAGACGTTCTCCTTTACTTGTGGTGAAAGCACACTTTTCTCTTACTCATTTGGAATTTCTTATTCACTACTGATTTTTTTTCTCAAGGTAAAGTAATGTACTATCATTTTAAGCAATTTTTGCGATTTCTGCCCTGTCAGCTGACTACCAATTTTAGTCTGAAATTTAGCGAAGTGTTTATAGTTTATTTATTTGTGCACAGTGGCCGAGCTAGACCAACTCTGGGTGTCGGCGACACCAGAATTACGAGGTCTCTTTCACTACCAAGTTATAAGTAAATAATTTACATTCACTAATACGTAGAAGCATGTACGAAAGTTTTATTGTTATTCAAATTAAAATAAAAACTAATTAAAATAAATTAACTTTCCTACCTTCAGCCTCACTGAATTTTTTTTTGAAATTATATCCTAATTTGCAACTGCTGCCTTTTTTTTTCCAATGGATAGAATTGGCAATGCGGATAGTCTTTCTTGGCCCATCGTACTTCTCAAGTAGGTCTTAATTAATTATAGCTTTGAAAAGCTTCTTTCAGTAGAAGCTTTACTGACTAGAATGGAGCATGATTCTGGTTACTACATAAGTATTCATATTTACTTCTTCTAAATTATTTTCTTTAATATATCGGATGAGTTGCTTTATACCGTTGATTGAGTCTTGCAAATCCGAGTTTATAAGCACCAATTCCTCATATAATTCAAAAGGCTGAATGTGGCTGTTTTCACCTTCCCAAAGTATTATACCTTAAGCATTACGATGCTTGAAAAGGTCTTCGGTTGGTATTCATATAATTAATGTCACATATGAAACCAAATTGTTTAAAATATCCCTTAAGTGCTTTGAATCGACAATCCAATTTGAATTTAGTTTTTACAAGATCACACGCTTTGCCAAAAGCTAATTAACTTTATTGATGCACCCGAAAAACATTTTCGCTGTTGTGGAAGAATCTGGGTCTCATCCACAACGCGTAAAAAATTCTCTTGGAATAATATTCAGGATTCTTGTTCCAACCTCTTTATTAATTGTCGACCATATTAGCACCATTATCACAACCCTGTCCTCGATCATTTTGGATTTCTAAATCGTATTTGTTCAATTTTTGTAGTATCGAATGTGTTAAATACTCTTCCGTCGTTTCTGCGACAGCAATAAACACAACAAAGTCTTCCTCTATAGCTCTGGTTATGGAATTGCAAAATCTTAGTATTAATGACATTTGTTCAACGCGGCTCATGTCCCTGGTGCAATCAAGCATAAAGTATCTTACTTGTTTAACTCTGTCTATAGTTTCGTCAATAATGGTTTTAGACATTAATATAATTAATTCATTCTGGATTCCGTGACACTAATTGTCATTAATACGTTGCATGTCTTCTCGTAGTGTAAGATCATATTTGGTTAACAACTTAAATAGATCTATAAAATTAACACTACACACAATCGTCTAATCTAAGGGGTTCTTAACGAGCTTTAAATGGAAGGTAAAGAGAGGCTTAGAATTTTATCATGTCAATCAATCTTTCAAGCCAGATATACCAATACTTTTGCGATACTCTAATCAACTTCTTGTTTGCTTTATCTGTTGTTTTTGAGTGTTTGACTTTGATCATGTCTTTGTAATATGCGACCCGTAATTTCTAGTCACCGCATCCTTCTTTTACTATTTATGTCTGCATGTGCAGAAAAAGTCTACATAGCAAGCAATAGACTTTATCTTGGTATGTAGAGTAAACTAAGCATGTGCGATGTTGTGTTTTGCCGTTATTTAATTTTAGAGTAAAATAAGAATCAGAAAAATGTCTTTTATTAGAATCCTTACGATAACTTTCAACTTTCAACATGTTCTGTTGGGGACTATTATGAATTAAATCATGGCGCAACGAGGCCGTTATTAGAAATACCCACCTACCCGGATTTAAGTTAATAATTGTTTTTCTTAATTGAACTGGCTCTTCAGTTATCGAATCACCAATATTCCCAATTTCGAATTTTTTATTGAGTTTAGTAAATTAATTGATAGATAATTCACCCGCTTCCAAAGCTGGTGCGTGTCTAACAGCATATGTCTCTATTGTTAAAAAATATTCTGATTCTCGTAATAAGAGACAAACAAAACTATTTTTTCCCTGGTATGTGTAGTTAAAGTTGGACGAAATACCTACAAAATTGTGAGGTACTCGCGGTCATGAACACGCTGCTTTTCATAATTCTCTGTATGCAAAAGCCGACACATATTTCATCAAATCTTCCTGCAAACTAATTCTTAGATTGCCTTCTGAAATCTGTTAGGAGTCAATTATCTCCACAAACGCGTGTTTGCGCGAAGTGGACCATAGATCCTCCGAAGAATTTTTCTTGAATGCTTCTCATACTATTGGTAACTGTCCAAGCTCCGGCACCATATAGCAAGACAGGCATGATAAGAGACTTATAGAGAGAGCTTTATTTCTCAATTTCGTATTTAATACGAAATAACATCTGTTGGTAAGACTGATTATTCATGGCATCTCCTTAATTATTGCACTTGAATAATCTACATTAACAAGATGTTGCAAGACTTTCAAATTAACTGCTTTACTTTTATTCAATACGCTCAACGTTGCCTTTTGCAGCACCAATATCTTTAAAATGTTTGCAGTACTAGTTTCTATAAAACAGTTTGATTCAATAGTTCATGTTTTTAAGTGAATGTGTGGTAAATACAGCTGTTTCCTAATACGAAGAATTGAACATCAACTAATAAATAAACATATTTAATAATTTCAAACGAAAAGTGGCGATCACACCTACACATTTTTCCGAATAAAAATGGTTTGTGTATATAACGCAAAAATGAAATAGATTGACCAGAATTTGCTATCAGTGGCTACCAAACTGTAAAACCGTCCTTTTATGGTCAGAAAACATCGCATGGCATTTCTCGTACTTGTGATGTATGCTAACCCATGCACATATACATACTTGCTTGACAGGCATTCATTTTATTTCAGTTTCTGAACTGTGCGAACAGTTGTCACTTGTGCATTCTGCATATGAAATTGAGAAATTGAGAAATTTTTCTTGGTAATACATGTAACTTAATTTAATGACAATTAAAACATGTTTATTGAAGTAATATAATACAACAAAAAGGTAGACTAAATTGAGCAAACATAATATCACAAGAAGATAAAAAAAATAAAGCGTATAAAATTTTTTGAATTATCCAAATAATACTCAAAATTTTGTGTAATGAAAAGAAAACATCACGCAGTACAAAAACAAAAAACTTAATGACGGATTTTTGAAATAACAGGTTTGTTCCACGAGCTACTCGTAATAACTTTGAGTAACACTGTGTACTCCCCCAGTGAGTTCCACCAGCAAATTTTCGAGTAAATGAAAGCATCTGAAAACGCTACACAGACTTTACTCGTACATTGTATTTCAAATAAAATTTGTGTTGATGTGTGAATCAGCTGTTTTGGTTTGAATTTAAATTTTGGTATTGTTTATTTGCGCAGCACTCGTATTCTCACCAGCTGTTCCATGAAAATCTGTGTTAAGAGCGTAATTTGACACTTTATTTGTGTCACGCTCTCAGTTTGTACTTTACTTGTTGGAGTGTTGGTATTTACTAGAATTTCGAGTAGGGTAAATTAAATAAAAATTATGTGAATTAGGCTTTATCATTGTGAAAATTGTATAAGATGTTTAATAAATAAATTAGAAAACTTTTAACCAAAAATAATAAATAAGTGCAATAAATAGATAAATAAATATTTACCTAGGAAATTTCAAATTACTTTACCATAATTTACTCGAACTCGCACACGGCCTAAATAGTTGAATTATATATAAAATCAAATTTTAAACAATAAAAATAGCCTTTTTTTTATTATTTGGCTGTTCGCTTAATAAGTACATATACTTAAACTTATTCCAGGAGAAATTCTTTGTTTACTTAAGATAAATGATGCGTATAAATGTTGACACAAAATTGAACATCTTTTTGATTTTATTTTCTATAAAATAAAATTGCGATGGTAACACTAAATAATTTATTGTGTTTTAGGGTAGTTGGCAACTCTTACAGTGCGTTCTTTTTCAATAAATGTTTTGCCACATTTGCTGTGCGAAAGTTGTTTTGTATAATTTTTTTAGGATTTCGTTAGTAATTAATTCGTGGTAGTAGAAAAATGTCTCATTTAGTCAAAATGGAAAACGGTCAAAGTCAAACAATTCAAGAAATGCTGGGTTGTATAGAAAGGTGTGTATAAATCTAATATCGTTTCAACATAACCTAATAATAACAATCTTCAATTTAACAAGATATAACCCGGATCACCTTAAAACTCTAGAGGCTTATGTTGAGGATCAAGCGAAGAATAACACCTATGATTTAGAAGCAAATTTAGCTGTGCTGAAGCTTTATCAATTCAATCCGCATATACTTAATTTTGATATTACATATACCATTTTGCTGAAATGTTTAACAAATTTGCCGCATACTGATTTTGTCATGGCTAAGTGCTTGCTTTTGCCACAGCAAATGAAGGATGAAACTGTGCAAACTATAATTGATTTAGCAGATATATTAGAACGCACCGATTTCACTCTCTTTTGGCAACGCGTTGATGTTAACAGAAATATGTTCCGCCATATCGCTGGTTTCCACGATTCTATAAGGAAATTTGTGTGCCATGTAGTAGGTATTACATTTCAGACAATCAAGAGGGATTTGTTAAAAGAACTTCTGGGTGGAATTGAAGGTCAGTAATACAGGTTTGCATTGGTTTTTATTTGTAATCAAATGTAGTGTTTTTAGATTCCACTTTAGAGCAATGGATGAAGAAATATGGTTGGAAAACTAATGGAAGTTTAGTATTCATTTCCTCACAAGATGAAAGAATCAAGACTAAAAATATTACGGAAAAAATTGAATTCGATACCGTTGGCGGACTAATGGCACAATGTTTATAAAGCTTTATATAACAAATTGTTTGAAATAATTACGAATACATGTCTTATTTCTTAAATGTAATTATTGTGGTTATTTCAAATATACAAAATTAATTTAAAACTACGCTTTTTCAATCAAACAAATATTTTTGTGATTTGCTTATATCTATGTGTTTTATTTATTTTGCATTTTGCTCTAACAAACTTGTTAATTATAATTTAATTTTGGTGATTTAAATACCATATATATATATATATATATATATATATATATATATATATATATATATATATATATATATATATATATATATATAATATATATATGGTTTTTATATATTTTTTAGTTTACATTTAACGTTATACCATTATTTAACGTTATCATTATATAAGTCCTTTAACAGGATTTAAAGAGCATAGCAAAAACGTGCAAAAATATTCATTAATTTAAAGTAAATCAAACAGTTTTAATAGAATGAAAGAGCAAAATGATTTGTAATATACAAAGTATTCTTTTCTTTTGCTTATGTTTTACATAACTCGAAACTTTTCCGTAGCCTAACATAAAAAGTACATAGCTAAAGATATAAAATTCATAATGAGGATTTTGTATAAATTCTAACATTTTTCGTTGGTGCTATATTGGTATATATTTCGTTTTTTAAATTAATAAATCTAAATTGTATTTTACAAATACTTTTCCGTCATGAGTAGGACATGAATTTTCAAATTCCAATCCGTGGCCAGTGTACACCAGCCGATTAAGGACAGACAATTTAGACAAACCGGACTTATTTCACAAAGTTCTTTTTCTTTTTTTTTATTTTTGGTTGTCTTTTACATACAAAATTTTTAAGTATTAATGCTTTAATTATTAATATTTTTCTAATTTATTCTTAACGAACTTTAGCTGCTGTAGTTCTCTATTGCATTATATTAGTTTACGATTGTTTTTTAAACTTTTTTAAAATTGGAAAAATTTTATCGAAGGCCTCATATATTTCTTGTCTAACTTTTGCACCAGTTAAGACTACTTTCCCTGATACAAAAATCAGTAGAACGATGCGAGGTCTGACCATACGATAAATCAAACCTGGAAATAATTCCGGTTCATATGAACTGAAGTTGCAATGAGTTAATACCAGGCCTTCTAGTCTTATAGGAAACTTTACATCACAAGAACCCACCATATTTTGAATCTTAAAATCCAAAAATTTAGCCTAAAAACAAAAGAAAAGTTAATATATTATTTAGAAATACATAAACATTTTACGCACAGGAAAACCAAGCTTCTGTATGATACGCGCATATTTGCGTGCTGCTAAACGAGAGTCGTCCTCACTCTTTGCTCCAGTACACACCATTTTCCCGGATGAAAATATCAATGCTGTAGTGCGAGGTTCGCGTATACGCATTATGACAGCTGCAAAACGTTTCGGATTATATTCAGCATTACGAGCGTGTAATGCTATCTTTTTCAAATCTAATTTGCAACACAAATTTACTGTAGATACTATGTTTCTAGAAATAAAATAAACGATTATTATTACTGTTGTGCTCAAAATATATACAGAATTCAGACTCCCAATTAGCTTAGATAACTTCAGCTGAATGTGTACCAATCAATACCTATACTTATACTTAAACAGAAAAGAAATTCGGGAATATATTTGATCTTTTGTGTAATATAAAAGTGCTTTTCAAAATTATAAGATGATATATTATAAAAAAAGCACTGACACTCACTAATTATGAAAAATGACATAGAATAAAAAATGCACTAAAAGTAATAATACGTCTAATTATAACTTTAACCGTATAAACCTAAATTGTTTTTTAGGACAGGGTGGAAGCAAAATTCCAATTCAAGTCATCCGGAGAAGGAGAAAATATTTCCCCCACATACAGGAAGAGATGTCCTGGCGCAAATGCGAATATAAACACGTGCTAAATAGTCACTTGTTACACTTAAATATGTCCATCTCCAATGCGTGCCTAACCTGCAGTTTTGCTTCTTATGATGTCGCCTGTTTTTATGGCCAAATCGACACACAAATTAGAGTCCCATTGTGGCTTCACCCTGTTAAGTTAGCAGAAATCTAGGGTTAACTTAAATACTAACGCCTATTACTTTTCTTTCTTTTCCTTTACACCTCTACTTCATTCACCACATCCCACTTCCCATTGAGCAAAATATTGCCATCATTATGTATTATCCTGGGATAGATCACGAACATTTAAACAACCCAAATTACGACCGGCACTACTGTGGCTCCAGATTAGACAGTGTGAAATGTAACAAAAATCAACTTATGCCACAATGTACTCTCAAAAACAAAGAACTGCAAGAAAGAATTTTACAAAACAGCGTATTTATATAGCTCACAAAAAGACGTAACCACTGTTAAAACTAATTTCATAATGGTGTGTCGATATAGAACTTTTTACAACAATCCGTAATGGCAACACACACTCTACCCGCAATACTTATCAAAACGCCGCTCATATTGTAAATTGTTGATTCACGCCAATGTAATAACAATGTCAAGTTCTTTTTATAGTACAACTATAAATAAAAAAACAACTGATTACAAGAGCAAACATACATATATCTCAAATTACCCGACATCTGTTTCAATTTTATATTACACAAATATAAACCTTCGGCTTTATGGTTTTAACTAATTTCGCAAGTAATTTCGAAAATGTTTTGCGATGAAGAAAACTAATATCTCTAAAAAACAAGTGCTACTAATCTTACCGGAATGCTCTTCGCAAAAAAAGCAATATTTAATACATGGCACTTCTCACATTCCCAATCCGGGAATCTATTTGTAGTTCAATTGATTAAACTTTTTTTCGAGCTCTGAAAACAAGAGCGATTCATATTTATTGCATAATTGAACTGGGCTTTATTTATTTATCACTGTTATGGCCCGCAGAGATGTGCTGGTTTAGTTCCTTTTGAGGGTGTTGGACAGTACTCGGTCGTTAAAATCGACGAGTGGCACCGGGACGTAGACCTGGCCTCTGTTTAGTTATTTCTAATACTTTATTCGGCACAAGTCAAAACATCACGCAAAACAACAACAAATATATTCTTCCTCTAATGGAAGTTCTTCCTCTAATATTGTAGCCCATAAGTTGCCAACCGTTGGTCCGCGAAATAGTTAAAAAGGGTCCGTGAATTAATTTTAATAGATGTAGATACATAGCTTGTAATTTGTCCATTGAGACCTTACTTATTAGAAAATAAGCATCAAACATTTTCAAGTACATAGTAAGTACATAATATTTTATAGAATATATAATGTATATATACACTTATACAATTCATTATACATTATACCAGAAATGCATAAAGCATATGAAAATAATCGTACAGTTTATTATTCTTTAAATTTGTGGTCCCTACTATAAACAAAAATATCTTAATGGTCCTGGCTCAAAAAACAGGTTGAGAACCACTGGCGTAGTCATTATAAACAATTTCAACTACAGTTGATGTTTAGTTCTGTGAGCAAATTAATCGAAGTCACAAAGTGCGGTTCACCATTCCTTTTGGAGATTTATTATGCCCAAGGAAATTATTATTATGCTAATGCAATGAAATTGAAAATTTTCTCCTGGACTGCAACATTAACAGTTCACCGTGTAAAATGTGCCATCCAAGAAGTTGACAAAAAATAATTTTTAATTAAACAAATTGATTCCAAGATGCTTGGATGCTTGGTTATATAAAACGAATTATTGTTTCCACGCCCTAATGATTATAAAAATCGTTTTCATATTTCGATGAATTATGTGTGTAAAGCAAGAAATAAAGTTTCATATTTCTTCTTTGAAAAGCAGACATTCATTTTAAAAGCCTATTTATAATATTTTTTTAAGGTGATTATATCGATTATCAAAAAGAAATTCTACACTAAAGTGTGAAAAATGCATAAAGTTGATGTACCGAAGACATTCTTGTGCGTATACATACACACGCAGTACATTAAAACCCAGCTTAACACGTGACAAGCCACTTCACAAATATAATTACAGCTTTATACTTACTGCAACTGTGGTACAATTCCTGGGTCGGCTGAACCTGGTGTCATTGGAGTCATAGGAGTGGCTGGACCCATCGCCTGATGTATGCTGTTCACATTATCTGATCTCTCACCCATAGGAACCATAGGTGACATAAGGCATTGCTGAAATTAATCAATCAATGAAATCAATAATTAAATTAATTATTAATTAAAATACAGAAGATAGCTAATAATTGAATTACTACTACGTACTGGTGTTAAAGGCTGCATTTGACTTTGTGGCGCTGGGTTCACCATGCTGCTTGTTGTGCTTTGGTACGAAGGCTGGTATGATTGCATTTGCTTCTGCGGTATCGGCAATGATGGTTGATGCTGTCCCATGGAATTTCCATTATTTGTGGATGAAACATTATCTATCAATGATATATTATTGATATCATGACCAAATATATTATTTCCGCTACTTGATAACCCGTGTCCATTCTGCATATTTGTATCGTGTGCATGTTGTGTTGATGTTGGGGGATGATAAACAGGGTTTGCAACAATTTGTTGATCTGCCTCCATTTGATGTAATGGAGTACCAATACTTGGTATTGAAAAACCTGGACTTAATATTTGATCCATGTTCTCTCCGAGTTTATATTGTATGCCGGTTCTAGAGTTTACAATTTAGTCTTTTTGTTCTTGTACACAAAACAAAAATCTAACTTAGTCTAACTATCTTAACATTAGTAACTACTTCTTACACTGCACATAAAATTATAAATAATTTACACAATTTTATGCCATAAATACGTGCAAAGCATACAACACAACTCATTTACTGAAATGAAAACCACTTTCTTGGGAAGTAACCACCGTTCCCTTTGGATGTATAAGCATTGACATAGAATGCAGTATAACAATTTTACTGAAAAATGACAACTAGAAGGTGGTACCGTATTATTATACGCACCAAGGGTAGCCACATGCGAAAATGCAAGAAAATCGTAGGAGCGTAAGCAGACTTGATTGTAATATAATGCATTTGTGCAGTTCGAATTATTTGAATTCATTTCTAATTATCAGATTTTGTATCATATAGTTCGAATACGAGCACTTATCAATAATAAAATTAATAGGTGTTTTCTTTTAACATGAATGCTCCAATAGAACAACTTCTGGTTGGTTAAGAATAACTCGGCATTACTGCCTAAGTCAATAAACATATGACAAGCAAAAAAATGTTAACCAAATTTGTGGCTGATAAATACATGTAAATACAAAAATACCTGCAGATAATTTTAAAAAAAGTTTTTTATATATATATAAAACTATCGCACACGGCGAGTTCGAGTAAATTGATGTTAAATTAAGGGAAATAGTAAACTATGTCGGTATGGCAGCGAATGTTGGTATTTACCAGAATTTCGAGTAGGGTAAATTGGATAAAAATTAAGTAAATTAGGTGTCATCATTGTAAGAATTTTATAAGATGTTTAATAAATAAATAAATAAATTTGAAAACTTTTAATCAAAAATAATAATAAATAAGTGCAATAAATAAATAAATATTTACAAAAGTGTAGTACAAAAAATCCCTAGGAAATTTCAATTTAGTTTAACTCAAATTACTCTAACTCGCACACGGCCTTAATGACACAAAAATGTTATTGGTGAGCATTTAATTTTGTATTTGAATGTATATAAACATAAACATTTTTAGGCTTTATCCATGATAACGAAGAAAAGTAGTAAAATCAGGAGGACATAAAGAGAGCAAATATTCGAAATTTTTGATAGTTCAGCTCTTCAAAGCGCAATACAAGATTGTTAATAAATTCGTTTGCATAATTTTCAAACTTCTACAATCACAAACTAATACTAAATGAGCAGTATTTAACACTATTTTATTTGTCATGCAATTGTCTTATAAGTTTTTGATTTTATTACAACAATTGTGTTTTGCATTTATTCATGTATTACATTTTTTTTTTGATGAAGATAATACAGAAATTATAAACTCCTTAATAAATAATTAATGAAGAACTTCTACATAATTACTAACCTGTCAGTCATCTTTACAAATTTTTTACGTTTTTAAAATATATAAATTTACTCATTAACACTCGCAACATTTATAAAAAATAAACAACTGAACAGATATTTTCCATTTTCTCCCAAAAATCATTTACAATAGATCAATTTTAATATTTGACACCATTGTAATGCGAGTGGCTTATTCGTTAAACAGTTTCAGGAAAGTGAGCTTATTTTTTCGAATTTTGTTTTTGCTTTGTATGTTAATTTTAACCGACTCGTGTTTAAAACATTGTTTTCCGTATATACTTCCAAAAATTATGGCTATAATTAATGGATTTCGATATTCTGGCCCCGTTGATAACAGTCTAATGACTGATATTCCTCACTTGTAATCGTGTTTTTACTGGGTTTAATTTTTATGTCCACCTCTTCGTTAAAAAACAGTCGCTAACTACAATAGCTGACGACTCTCCTGTGGGTTTTTTTATCCTTTTTACTCACGAGATAGTTACTATATGTGTTTCAATTGGTTAATTGGTAGCATTTCACTTTATTAAAATAATTGCGGAGTCTGGCAGCACCATTTCAAAAAAGTCGCTGTCAATTGTCAGCTGAATAAGAAATACATTTGATTGACATTCCTGAACAAAAGATTATACATAATTTTTATTAAGAGTGATTTTCTTATGTTGAGTTTTTAATTGGCTTTTGATTTTTATTTATATAAGCAAATATTAATATGGATTGAAATGTGTAGCAAAGAAATCTCTCTCTCAGTGCTTCTTCTTAAATCAAACTAAATCATAAACACAAAAGAAGACTGCGTTATTGTATTGATTTTTTTCAAGGGCAAAACAAAATTTTGAATAAAGTATAAGGTAAGTCTGAATAATATTTAGTAAGGCAAAAATTTACTAGGGCCTTACATATATTTTAATAAACCTTATTGATTTTTTTGTGTGTTTGTCATCAGCACGGTTGCCTAGTAACTAAATCTTCCTGCCCCCACCACAACGTAAATAAACTCAAGTTGTGAGAAAAGCTGTAACGATGAGTGCAAAACGACGCCCCTTGACCGCAAATAGCCAAGCACCTAATGAATGCGTACAGGTTGTTGTTCGTTGTCGGCCGATGAGTAATCGGGAAAGATCTGAAGGTACAACTGAAGTAGTAAATGTGTTTCCAAATCGTGGTGTGGTAGAAATTACAAATCTCGTTGATGTAAATAAGGAGCAACGTAAGGTGTTTACGTATGACGCAGCGTATGATGCAGGTGCCACACAGACCAACCTCTACAATGAAGTTGTATTCCCATTGGTTAGTTCTGTTTTGGAAGGATTTAATGGCTGCATATTTGCTTATGGACAAACTGGTACTGGAAAAACTTTCACCATGGAAGGTGTACGCGGCAACGATGACTTAATGGGTATCATTCCACGTACTTTCGAACAAATATGGCTACACATAAATCGCACCGAAAACTTTCAATTTTTGGTGGATGTATCCTATTTAGAAATTTACATGGAACAATTGAGGGATTTACTTAAACCAAATAATGTATCAGGAAAACATTTAGAAGTACGTGAACGTGGTTCTGGTGTTTATGTACCAAATTTACATGCAATTAATTGTAAAAGTGTTGAGGATATGATCAACGTTATGCAACTTGGAAACAAAAATCGTACTGTTGGTTTTACCAATATGAATGAGCATAGTTCCAGGTAATATGCAATTGTGTTATTCTTTATCAAGATCTTTAGTAAAATATAAAAAATATTCCAGATCGCATGCGATATTTATGATTAGAATTGAAATGTGTGATATTGAAACAAATACCATAAAAGTTGGAAAGTTAAATCTGATCGATTTAGCTGGTAGTGAGCGGCAGTCTAAAACAGGTGCTTCTGCAGAGCGTTTAAAAGAAGCTAGCAAAATCAATCTTGCATTGTCATCACTGGGAAATGTTATTTCTGCTTTGGCTGAAAACTCTCCCCATGTTCCCTATCGTGACTCGAAATTAACTCGACTTTTGCAAGATTCCTTAGGAGGCAACTCAAAAACAATTATGATTGCTAACATAGGTCCTTCAGCTTATAATTATAATGAAACTTTAACAACATTAAGATATGCTTCTCGAGCTAAAACTATACAGAATCAACCAATTAAGAATGAAGACCCTCAGGACGCTAAATTGAAAGAATACCAAGAAGAGATAGAACGTCTTAAACGTTTGATTGCGCCTAAACAACATAAAGAGAAGTCAATTAAAAAACGCGTCAAGAAACAAAAGAAAGAAAAAGTGAGCCGCGAACTGGAGGAGTCTATCACTAGTGAAACACAAGAGATTGAGGAGAGTGATGAGGGAGAGTCAGATAAAGAAAATGACGTCGATGAAGCCAAGTCGAATGAAGAATTGGAGCGCGAACGTATCGAAAATGCAAAATTAGCAACAAAGTTAGCTGAGCTTGAATCACAGTTAGTACGTGGTGGCAAAAACTTGCTAGACACCTATAGTGAACGACAGATTGAGCTTGAGAAAAAACTTGTCGAAATTGCAGAACGTAAGAAAAGAGAGATTGAAATACAGCAACAATTAGAGTTGCAAGAAGAAACAACCTTAGAAATACGAGAAACTGTAACATCATTGGAACAAGAAGTGGAACTCAAAAAACGAAAACTGTCGAAATGTTATGCTAAGTATTTAGCACTACAACAAGAATTAAATGATTGTAAGTTTGATCACAATCAAGATCTACGTGAACTTGAAATGGCACAAAACGAACTAGTCAAAGAACTCAAAAGGCAGCTACTTATAATTGATAATTTCGTACCAGTAGAAGTCAAGCAACGGCTTTATACTCAAGCAAAATATGATGAAGAGCAAGAAGAGTGGAAATTTTCCTCTTTACCTCTATGTAATGACAGTAATTTCTCAAACAAGAGACCAGTATCACATCACGAAAGAAGACGTCCTGTCTCAGAATATGCGCTTACGGAATCTAAATGTAATTCTACGAATGCGTTGCGTTTCAAAAGTGAAAACATTGTTTCATATGAATTGGAAATGCCTTGTCGTACTACACAAGAATATCGAACTCCGAAGGTATCTGCATCTTTGCAAGCTGTTTTGGCACAGGCTATGCAAACTGGAGAAGATATTGATATTGTTGACTCACATAAGAATTCAATACGTAGTCGTTTAGAAAACATAATAAATGCAAATGCTAATGCGACAGCACCAATATCGAATGGAACTGCAGTAAATGCTATTTACAATACTCCATCAACTCCTGGAGTAAAAAGTATGAAAACAAGTCGTGGAACAGTACCCAGTTCAGCAATGGAATCGAACAGACGTCCTCCCACTGGTCGTGCACAACCAAAAAAGCCTGCATCTGCTTATCCCAAAGCAAGAGGACTTGTCAACAAATAAAACGCAAACTAACTGATCAAAAATTGCTTTTAATCTTTTACCCTATATTTTACGCTCAACTTTACACAAATGCTTAGTCAAAATACTTCATTTTAACTACTATTTATTAATGGAAATGTAATGTCAACATTTGAACAATTAGAAGTTAAGTGCTTTAGTATGTTACAGTATAATGTATTCTTTATGTTTTTGTTTTTTGAAATTGTATTTTTTATGTATGTTGTTTGTTTTTTCTACTATTTACATTGTTATTATTTATTGTCTGTATGGAATGTGTTGATGATAGTCCAAAAAATTAGCTTATTTTTGAAGATACCGCAAAAGGCCTGGCCGAACTGCTAGATGCCTGCATATTAACCTCGAATAACATTGTTCTATTTAAGTTTTTAATAAAAATATTTAAGTGAACACGCACTGTGCAATTAAATGATGTACCAAAATTACTTTAGTCATTATCCACAAATAATTTGTGATGCTTTAATAAAAAATAAAATCAAAACATTATTCTCTTTAATTTTACAATAGCGGTTGGGCTTAAATAAATTGAAGTTGTTTAAAAAATCAATAGTATACAAATGGACTCTATATTTTCTTATTAATATTATTAACTATAAATTCGCATTAACAAATATAAATATTTATTTATCTAAATTATTAAATCCAGTTTTTTCAATTATTTCTAACAGTGTTTGAAGCTTGCTATCAAATAGTTCACACCTTATGGGCATTTCTAATGAGTAAAATGGATTCTTAAGCACGTAATCTGCATAAAGTTCGTATATTTTTCGCAGAAGCATATCCATACTGCCAAGCCCAACTTCAGATACTACAATAAATTTAACTCCTGTTAATGTTTGAAAGCAGTGTAATGTAAATGTGTCAGACTCTAAAAGTTCGATGCCTGAGCTCTTCGGTTCTGGACTTAATTGGCTAGCAATCGCAAATAAAGGATAAAACATACTTGCTAAAAATATTTTTTCGTTTGTTGTCATTTTTGGGCGTGCAAATTTCAAATTTACTGGATAATTCTCTTCAGCTTCCAATACTGTTTTAACATTTCGCCCATCTGCAAGTGTTGCACCATTCACCAAAATACCATTCACAGACACTAGCACATGTCCAACTAAATAAATTCAATTTAACTGTATAAAAAATATTAGATATAAGTATATGGAATCTACTTGCCATTAATACTCTCTTTTTTGTTAAACGCCACTGTCACTTTTTTGCTGTCATAATCAAGGACTATGTCTAGAGGATATGTGAAAGATTTCTCATGTTCTATTCTAGGTACATTATTGTCCAAATTAAATATCAATCCTCCGGATTTACTTACAATATATACACCGTAAATAATCATTTTAGTTTTTCAAATATTTTACAAAATATATAATTTCCCCTCCCTTGATCGCTCAAATAATCTATGTGTCTCTGTTTTTATTTGTATTCATTTTTACATACGACAACAAAGCTCAGCTGATTGATGCTGCCACTGTTTTTAATATATAAAAGTTTTTCTGCAAAGCTTAATTCACATAATGTTTCCAAAATAATGTGAAATTTATTTCTGCAGTTAATATATTTTAATAGGTGCTTTTGACAGATTTTAATTGTGGCAAAAAACAGCACGTTGCTCGCTTACAGTTGCTAATTTATACGCAAAACAACAACACTACTTTTTCTTTCTAAAGACCTAGTTGTGAAGTGGTCAAACATTTTAGCGACTGCAAAAAAAAAACGATACCAAAGCCATAAGCGAACTATTGTGAACCTTGATTGGAAATTTCAACGAATATTCCAGTCATCTGTCAAAGTTTGTAAACAAATATTCAAGCAAAATTAGTTTCATAAATTTGAAAAATATGCAAAATTTGAATAATAAATATTATACACATAAATGTCTTTAAAAATTTTTAGAGGTACATGAAAAAAGTATTATTGAAAAACGCTTTGAATTTTTTAACTTATTAGTGGCTATCAATTGAGTCAAAGAAACAAAATTTCTAAGATAATAATAAAACCGCTTTTAAAATGTCAGTTCTTTAATACTTCTTTATTTTTACACGGCATCTACACTAACTTGACTTTGGCAAGATTTTTGCATACACTTTTCATTTTTCACTCGAAACTCAAAAATTAGATAAAAATAAATAAGAATGTGATCAGCGTAGATTTGTTTCCTTACTGTCATGTCAAAATCTAGTAAATCAGATGTTTTAATTCCTACTATTGGTAATGAAGAAAGTAAATTTTTTAGTTGTAAGTATTATTGTTGTGGTTTTAATATTAATTATGACCAGATAATTTTTTATTTATATTTCGCAACAGTATGTGCTATGTAGAGGATTATCGCTGATCAGTTTTTGCAGATTATTCAACATTATTTTAATTGCACTTCAGTTAGTGCATAGTACGAAATGACAGTTCGCACTTACAATCTTCCCTCTGTTGCTGTTTTTAAGGTACAAGAACACTAAAAATTGAAAATAAAATTGTTTTGTAAATATATTGATTATTAGTATGACATGAGTTGTCTTTAAATATTTTTTTGGTACATAATTACTCTCAAACTACCAAACAAGTTCCATTTTGCGATGTGAATAGCGTATAACTGCATTAATCAAAATCTAATTAGTTCTATACCAATAAAGCTTATTTTCTATTTTTTAAAATGATATATTCTTCAAAGATGGACTTAACTTATATTATTTATTATCTAATTAGTAATGATACGCGTACAATATAAATATCGTTATACTTATATAATAAACATAATGTAAAATTATAAAAAACGTTGTAATAAATTATTTTTTAATATTTCGCGCATTTTAAATTTAAAATATTTTATATAAAAAGTCTAATCTTTTTTAAATTAAAAAATAATGAAAATTAACTTTTTTACGTTTTTATTTTTATTTGTCTTACATCAATGCAAATTGTGTTATATGCATTTCGGACTAGTGGCGAGACTATATTAATAGACTATAAGTTATTAAGTCATTACTCTAACATAAAACGCCAAAGTAAAAATTTTATCTATATTGAAAAATTATGGTATAACAAATAAATAATTATTAAATATATTCCTACAGTCCTACATTATAAATATTAATTAATGTTAAAGAATTTTTATTTTTCAAATAAAGTATCACTTATTCAAGACAACTAAATTTTTAGTTTGGTGTTACGTAATTCAATCCGTGTTTGAATTTGAAAGAGCTGCAACTACTTTAAAATCTTGAGACCTTAAAAATTATAAACATTTTATTCATTGTTAAAAAGGATTTGTTTTTATTTCACATTTAAAAAACAGCTTACCTAAAGGTAAATAAAATATGTGATTAATTTAGTGTAACTAAGCGTGTAACAATTTTGAAATTATTTAACAACTTTAAATTAAGCTTAATGTTTTAGTAAATGAACAGATTCGCGATATATGATATTGTACATCACTACAATTCTTCAATATACAAAAAAATTGCTTGCATTTGAAACGTTAGTCGTTTAAAGTGAAAATGCTTTAAAGATAAAGAATAAATTAATGGTTAATAAGGATATTAATTAGATTTGTATTTGCTTTTAAATTATTCATGTCAGTCCGTTACAAAGACTCCTTAAGAGTTGCTTATATTATAAAAAATGCAATTTACGTCAGCACTAGTTTTGAGAATTACGTCAGAAGTATGTGGGCGTAAATTAAATGTAATATAGGCGTACAACCGAAGTGGTGATGAGCGTATCGTTGTCATAGAAACTGGTTTGAATGGTAACATTTCCATTTAAAACTTTAGCAGGCATCATTTGAGATTCAGGCGCGGCTTCAATCGTCGATTGCCAAGTATTTGTTGTATTTGGGCCAACCCATCCCATTTCGAAAAACCATTCCTCCATGATCCGTCCTTTGAATAGTACTTTTTGATCCAAACGAAAGTTCTGCATAGATTCAATCGTACTGAAATTGATTTCGCGAGAAACTGCACGCATATCTAAAATCTTTACTGGTACCCGAGCTTCATGTTCTACATCTGGCGATGAAAAATCTTTGTTCTCCTGCCATATTATCTTACCACTGTCTGCATCTCTTAGTATCATGTAATTAATTTGGAAACCTTTTTGAATTTTTTGACCAACTTTATCTGAACCCATATTGTTAAGGAATTTCTATATCTTTGCTATACTTAAATGGACTATTTATTTGGTTTAATCACCTGGAAATTTCAATGCGATTTTTTGTTATTTAAACCATTTATAATTTACAAAACAACCACTCGTTCATTGCGTTATATCTAAAATTATTAAGGTAATTTTTAAACTTTCATTTAAGTACAAATAAATTTACCTTATTAATTTATTTAATCCTAAAATATTAAAAATCACTCCAATTTACTTATTTAGAAAAAACTCACTACACTCGCATACTTCGTGAGTGGATGAGAAAACTATTGTTATGACATTTATTTGCATACTTCGCTTTACTTTTATATTGTATTAGCATTTGCCAGATGTCTGTAAATTTTTATGTCAAAACTTATAACAGTCATCACATATCAATAATTAAATATTTTTAAAATGATATTACTACAATGATTTTATTTTTAATGATATTAAAACAATGATATAAAAAATTGGATATTATTTAAAAATTACATGAATTTTTAAAGTTTTATGCTTTTAACATAATTTTCATGTATCACGTTTGGTATTTCAACTGTAGACAGATATTTAAATTATTCAAGTCAACTTTTATTACATTACCATTAACCATCAAAACAGAATAGGACATACATAGATGAAACAAACGTCTGTAGCTAAAACCATCAAATGTACTGAGCTACTGATATATAGTATAGCTGTTTGTTATTTATATTAAATATAAGATAAAAATCATCCACAAAATTAAGAAACACAATCTACTTGATTTTGTGATACTGGAGTTTTGTTTGTAATTTTAGCTGTCAAAATTTCCATTTGCATTCAAAGCAACAACAATTGACAGCTAAAATTACAAACAAAACACTATAGTGAATCCACCAAAGGCAACATATCAATTCATAAAAAAAAGATTATTATTAGATTATTATTAAAGATTATTATTATAGATTATTTATTAAATGCAATATACTTGATTTATGGTACTTCTTTATATTTGATTTTTTTGAAATATATATATAAATATAGAAATGTAAGAAATACTTTTCTAAATAAATATATACTCATAAATTTTAACAATGACTTTTATTTTTATGCGATGTTCTTATTTTTATTTTATTACCCATACAAAACCCAAAATGTTCAAATATTCTAAAAACATAGAAATTTCTATGTTTTTTGCGACATCTACAACTATACATTCTATTCGCAACATTCATTTGTACGTACTTAAGTTAGGATGCGCTAATTTCAGCTGCAACAGCTCCATTCAAATAGTTGGAATGTCAAAATGTCAATTTAGAGCAAAATTCCGAGTATAGTAGAAAAGTTCGTAAGAATGGCAATTATTTAAAAATCACTAAAAATTTAGTAAAATATGTGTAATAAAATCTCTTTCTTCTTAATTCCTCTATCTCTTTGTGAAGCATAGGGTCATTTAGTTTCCAATTATAAAGCATTAATTTTCAGTGCTTTTTTGTTTGTGTTTAATTTTAGTTCAACTTTATTGGCAGCTAAATAAAGGTCGTAAATTTTTGACTGCATCTCGGGATGCTTAACGGATAGTCGGCAGATGTAATTCGCGTACGCAAAATCTTCCAGATGTTTCTGGAAATTCCAGGGAAGATCTCTCAGTTTGTTGTCGATGCACCACTGCAAAACATCGGTGAAATCAAGCGTCCTTGTCTGACGTCTAAATGAGTATTGAAATGTTTAAAATATCGCCCATTTTGTGCTCCTCTGCACTTAAAGTCTGTACATTGTGCCCAGATTAAGTTCCGATCTATGCTATCAAAAGCAGTGGGAAAGTCAATAAAAACAAACTTTTCTTATATCTGCCATTCGCTGACCTGTTTAACAATGACATGTAAAGTGTTTATCTGATTTTTGCATGATCGGTTTTATCGAAATCCTGCTTAGGTTCTTCTGATAGATGCTTTCAACATAGATCGAATATTTTTTAACAGAACTCTAGCGAATATTTTTGAAATAACAGGTAACAGGGTTTTACATAAGGACAGGTTGCCTTTCTTCGGTATGACAGGATGCCCATTAACCAATCTTCGGGTACTAATTCTTTTGTCCAAATGTCAATAAACAGTGTATCCAACCGTTTCGCTGCGTAGTGTGGGCAGATTTTTAAGATTTTCGCATATTGTCGTGCCCAGGGCTTTTGTTATTCTTGAGTTTCTTAATAGCCAATATTATTTCTAGAATTGTTGGTGAGTTAAAGTTTATTTATCATGTGTTAGCAATGTAAGAGGTATTTGTAGTTTTATTGTTTATCTGGGTCGTATTCGTTGAGGGTCCAATGTACATAACAGAAAAATGTTCACGCCATCTTTGGAGCTGTTCAGTTTCGGTTGTTCGAAGAGCGCCATTTTTCGATTTGATAGAACCTGAGTTATTTTTTATATTTCCTGAATATAAATAATAATAAAATAGTAAATTTAATTTCGTAAGCTTATTAGTTTATACGTTAAATATGTTAAACATATTTAAAAATTAGTTATTTGTTTTTGAATAATAATGAATTTGTTTGTAAACATGATTCGTCGGTATTTGTCGGTGGTTTTACTAGTACATCAAAAAAAATTTGAGTAATTGTGGTAGATTAAAAACATGTCGAGGGCCGCATGACGCTTGCGGGCCTTGCATTGGACAGCCCTGATTTATAAGATAATTGTATAGAAAAAGTGTCTAATTGCTACCCATTTATCGAAATTAATGCGTTAAATGTGACACCATAAACTTAAAATTAAAAATATTTATACACATGTAATACATAAATAATTATAATGAAATGTATTACATATGTATATGCATATTATATAAATTTTGCATCTTGTGTGTAAAACGAATCTGTGCAATAGGTTGGCTGGTCTGCTGCAGGTATTATATAAAAGTTTTAGTATATATTTGAGAACACTGTACACTGTAAAATGCATATCATATGCACATCATATGCATTTTATTTATAATTCCATTTAGATAAGTATGTAATACATATAATCTAATTTTAAAATATAATCCAATTTTTGATAACTTTTTAATGAAGTATAGAGATCTCATGCTCTCTTAAACTACTGTTATATGTTCTTGAAAAAAAAAAGGAATTTGAAATTTTTTTAGCTCTGGCTTAGTATATAACGAATTTTTTAAACAATCTTGTAAATTTTTAAACAATCTGTTTGCAAATAAATTTATTGACAAAAATAGTATTTATTCTTCTTCAAGAAATCTATACATAAAATATTCAAAAAGTCCACTGTTCTATGAGTGAAGTTTGCAGCTTAAATTGGGAAGCGATATTGCATTGATATACATACTTTGAAAAATCTTTATCTCCGTTAGAATGGTTATTGATATATTCATGATACGAAAATATTTGTATATCGACATATGTAATGGGCTCGGTGAGGCTACCCGTGGCTCTGTTATTTGCGTATCTATCTGATGATCTGACCTATAAAAAATTTTTGGACTATAGACTGATTGTATTCTTTCACTAAATAAACTTGTTTTATCATTTCTCATTTTTTTAAGGACTTCGTGTTCATGGTTACAAATTTGTGATGTATTCTACACTTACGAATAAATTAATTTGCCGCCTACTTTTATATGTCTATTTTTATCTTGTCTCATTTCTCTCAATTACAAAGCAATAATTTTTATTATTGTGTTAACAAGGCTGAAGTGTTCATCAATTGTTGCAAAAATCTTTTCACTTATTTTTCTATTGAACTGTAAACATTCAGTACTAATGGAAGAGAAAACTACATTTGGTTATCGGTGTCGATGAATGCCACCGGAAGGTATAGCTGGACATTATTACAGTTTCTCATCAATGTAGATTCATAACATTTGTTAATAAGTTTACTGACATTTTTTCATTAAAGTAGTAATAGGCAGTGTACTACAGATATAGTACACAAAACAGTTCCTTTTTTTATTGTACATGCTTTTTAGAATATAAACTGGCGTTCAAAGACAAATTGGAAGAGATAAACAAAATATCAGGACTTTATTTTGCAGCCAAAAAAAAAGTCCTTAAGCATTGAATTATTTTTAAAAAATTTAGTGACCTGATTGAAAAGTAGCAGTCCGGTTAGCACAGTCCGTCCTGTTCACCCTTGACAACAATGTCTGGTAAGAGGCTATGAAATGTAATATATGTTCATTTGAAAACTCAATGAAAATATTTTTCTTTAGATAAAACCTACAAGAATCATTATAAATATAATAGATGCAACTTAGCCAAATTTCTTGCTCTTCGACTCTTCCATCTAGAGATTTTTTCACACATGTTGTACCTTTTTACTGCTGCGGCTAGATAATTCAGCCCCATTTGTTCATCAATGGCCTTTCAGATCTCAGTTCTATATCTCAAACATTTTTTCTAAAAACTATGCTAAGTTTTTCTGTAAATAATAATTATTAGTATTATCAATGGGTTTTCATGCAATTGCAAATATACAAAAAAATTAAATTATAGACTTTAATCGCAGAAATAAATGGTATCTTTTGAGACTACCTAGCTTACAATTATTTTCTTACTTACTTATTTGGGCATAACAATCCGTTATCGCCTCTGGCTCTGCTGCGTGCGCGCCTTCTCCAATCTCGTACAACAAGTCTAATTAGTGCTCCCTCAACTTGATCACTTCCGCCAACTATTGCTTCAAACACTTTTTTCGCTGGAGCATCTTCATCCATTCTCACGACATGACGAAGCCAGCGAAGCCGCTGTATGTTAATTCCCTGAATTATATCAATGTCATGATAAAGCTCGTACAGCTCGTAATTCATTCGTATGCGAAAAACTTCTTCTTAAGATCTTACAAAGAACTTTTTTCTCGAGCACCCCCAGCGTTGCTTCATAATTCAGTGATAACGTCCATACCTCTGTGCTACCTTACAATTGCTATTACTTAATTTAAATTATTATAATATTAAAATTATATGGTCAATGTTCAATGGTATTAGGGGCTTTGGTTTAGGCTAAGGCTCCTATGCACTGCGACCTATTGTGCACCCCTTTAGACATTAAAAAAAAATAAAATATTTTATATACATATGTATATTGAAATTATTATATTATATTAAAATTATTATGTTATATTAAAACTCTATGTGATAGGTCTACAACCTGATAACTCTTCGAACGCCTTTTAAACAGTGAAATTCCTATTCAACATTTCTATATATTTTTAGGTGGATTTACGAATTTGCTTCTTCACTCAAGGCAGATCAGGACTCTGATCAATATAATAGTTCAATATACGCTGTGTTAAAAGATTTTGATTGGTATCTTTAAAGTACATACATATGTATGTATGTCTGTATTGGAGGTACTTGCAGTGTCCTGAAGTTGTATGTCGCATATATTCAAGCGGGTCAGGTAATACGAAATTACTTTGACAGAACGATGATTTTACAAACATGCTAAAATTGTTTCTAGTATTAAAGGTGTACCGGTATATTATTTTTAACTACAAAGAAATGAAAAATAAGAAATATGCATGTATGCATGTATTTTTGCATGCATTTTACTATGTAGGCATTTATGTATGTATGTACATATTTTGTTTGTAGCTGATCAGCTTCAGTGCTTAGCATAAATTGTTAACATTGAATTTGTGTTTGGAACCGACTTTCACTTGCATTCAACAGACATAACAGACATAACGAAGTTTAAACAAACATCTTGTACAAGTCCAGCAATAGATGAACAATTGTAAACTGGCGATTTTCTTATATTTTGGGTTAATACTTACATATGTACATATATTTTATATATTTGGTTCAACAGATACGATTTCTCAATTAAGCCTGTATTGTAAAGAACAAAGATGCACATACAACATACATACATACATACATATGTGTATGGCATTTGTGCTGTGTTTATGGTTCCAGTCACTTCGTCGTTTTAGGCTTCATGCATTTTTGCATGCTCGCTTTTTTTAAGATTTTGTTAGTGTGCTGGCAGCTCTCGCAATTCTTAACTATGACGTTTCGATAACAATAAGTAAATAAGATACTCAGTCAGTTATTTTTTTGAGAAACAAAGCTGTGTCGGCCTGGTGAGTGCCGATATTTTATAAACAAAACGGCAACATTACATCAATGGCAACAGCAACAGCAACAGCAACAACAAATCAAACATAAATAAATAAACAAATTGAATTGATAAAAAAATTTGATTTGGTTAATCAATGAATGGATCAGAGACACAAAAACAAATTTGAGTTTTCCTTTCATGACCTTAATGCCTGTCGTCAGTCGCCAAGCCAATGCAAAATGGAATTGGAATTGGAATTGTGAGTTCAGTGGTTTTTGTTTTGTCGATTTTCTGCTATTCCTTTAATTTTCTCTCGTTTCTCCCTTATTTTCAATTTTCGTTCACGTTCAAAGAAAACTAAAGCCAATACACGCAACTGTTTTCGTGCTTGGATGATTCAGTGCAAAAGTGCTTTTTGTTGTTGCATGAGTCTGACTGCCTGAGTTGTGATTATGGTTACGGCGGCTCTGTGTTGACGGCTTTCAAGGAGAGTTCATCTGAGCACACACATTTGCCGCGCTGTTGTGTTGTGTTGTTTGGTTTTGTTGCGTTTTTCGTTGTTTGGTTTCCTTTTTTTGTTTTTATAGTTTTTTTTTTGTTTTTTGTTTTTTGTTTTTTGCTGTAAACAAGACAGTGTGTGAGCTGCCGTTCGCTGAGCTTGCTTCGTTTGAGCAAAATCCAGTTGGAAGTAGTGAAATTCAATTTGCTGCTTGAGTAAATGGTATGATATAGACATGTGTGTTGCATGGATGTGCAAAATTTTGTTTTAAATAAAATATTATTGTATTGCAGTTAATTTTGGTGATAAATTTCTAATTAATAGCAGATATTAAAATAGAGTTTTAATGGATAAATTGTGAATAATTAAGAAATCGCTTACTTCGGCTCAATTTTTGCAATGGAAGTTTTAATGAATGTGAAGTGTTCTTCAACAACAACGAAGCCTTCCAGTACAACACAACACGCAATCGATGTGGTTGACAACAAAAACAAACTCAAGCAACAACAACACATTTTGGGTTCCTTTATGCGTGGACCTTTGGCACCTGACATCAAATCTTTATCAAACCAGAGCTCGCAATCATTATTAGCAGTAAAGAATACCGTTCCGTCAAAGCAGGAAGTGATCATGATAGCAAATTCGGAGTATGTGACAGCAAAACATTGTTGCAACCAACAGGATTTGAGTGAAATACCTGTTGCTACAACAGCAGTGATTCAAGAACTAAATGTGAAAGCTACTACTTCCCCAGTCTATCAATCAACAATATATGACGCAGAGCGTAATAAATCTTGTTCTGCTTCTGTCACTGTTACGCCTGTTACTCCTGTTACTGTACAGGAGTCAATCGAGTCTGTTATCAGTACCCAAAATAATAATCAGTACGACATCCAATACGAGTATCACGAGCCAGAGGAAAACTTTGTATCAATTGATGATGCAAAGATTAAAGGTTTCTTGATGAAAATTGGACAGGAGCAGAAATATGCAAAAAATAATGTCAGAGGTACGATCACAAGCAAAGTCGTGGCAACTTCGAATACAGAAAATGTTGTTTTTGAGATTATTGAGCTAGATGATGATCCAAATAACGAACCAAATGGAAAAAACAATGTTGATGACGTGCCTGCCACATTACAACATACAGTATGCTATAGTAAAAAAAGTCAAAATTTGAAATCCGGTAACCATTCAGCTATAAAATCCTCAAATGCAGAGGTGATAGCTCAGATAAACTTAATCGAAAGTAGCGACTCTGAATCCGATGAGAAGAATAGTAATGTGAGTGATAATGATAGATTACCATTAGCTGTAGCTACAGTTTCTTGTGAATTACAATGCGACGATGATGAAAATGTGGATGTGACATTAAGACAGAAACATTCCAATGAAGTTATAATTTTACCATCTGATGATGATGACGACGACCTTAATGATGATCTTAATGATATGAATGAAATGGAACCTGAAATATGTTTTAGTGATTACGAAGAACAGAAAGAACGAACATATTTTGAATGCTTTCTGTGTGGAAAGAAGGTTCAGTCCAGTTATAACTTAAGGCGGCACATGATGATACATACTGGTTAGTTGACATGAATATATATAAACATAATAGAAATATTCAGAGCTTATTCGGTATTTAATACATTTGTTTATATGAATTCACCACAAAAAAAATAATTATACAATTATTATCAAGTTCGAATACCGAGCTCGTTCTAAATTTATTTAGCATTTATAGCACAATATACGCGATGAATAATATTATTTTTTTATTGATTTTTTTTAGGTGAACGTCCTTTTGGTTGTGATATGTGTGAAAAACGTTTTCGTGAATTTAGTGACTTAAAAAAGCATCGTCGACGTCACGTGAAAGAACCTAATTTCCATTGCATGGTTTGCCGTGTGAATCGACCGACTGAACTAGATCCAACTCGATGCAATAGTTGTGATATAAAAAACAGTTCATTGTTTGCTGAAAGTCGGCAACAGTATACAGCTCCAGCATCACCAGAAAAGTCGTTGAGTCCTCCTGTAAAAAAAACACCGTCACGCAACATAATACCCTGCACACCGTCAGCACAACCTGCTAAGAGCGTTTCCCCTTTATTGGCATCCTCAACAACAATATCAACATCAACAACACTTCCACCACCTCTGGCACCCATAACCCCAACAATCGATACACAACGTTTACTTGACAATCTTCCAGCTGTACATCGACCTAATTTCAACCAACCGGGTACAACAACTCGTAAGGAATTTCCTTGTCCGTTATGTCAGCGACCTTTCGGTACACGACATAATCTTAAACGCCATTTCATGATACATACTGGAGAGAAACCTTTCAGTTGCTCACAGTGCCGCAAACCTTTTCGAGAATATTCAACCCTCAAGAAACATATGGTTACACATCAACGTGATCGGCTTTATAAATGTTTGCGTTGTCCATTAAACTTTAGAGATTACTTAGATTATATAGAACACAAAAATACGCATCCGAAAAGTGACATTATTGTGACTAGTAGCAGCAACAATATAACAAGTTGTCCTAAAAAGCGTTCCAAACTTATGCACGACGAATTCTACGATTCAAACGATGAAGACTCGTTGCCAGAAGATTGGATCGAATGCTGTGAGTGTGGGCAACGCTACACAGATATCGAGGCTTACACCGAACACTTGAAAGTACACGAAACTAACGTATTCGTCTATGAATGCTTTGTTTGCAAGAAAGTCTTTGAGGAGCACAAGACATTGTTAAAGCACATGGGTGAGCATAATTATAGTTCTAATCAAGAAAACGAACAAAAGATAGATGGAGATGATTAGCATTGGCTTAGAAAATGTAACTTCAATAATAATTTCAAAGCATTATATATATATAAAATGGTAGCTATATATATATATATATATATATATATATATATATATATATATATATATATATATAATATGGTGCCTATATAAATTTATATATATATATGGTCTTTTATATAATATAAGATAAAAGAAGCACAGAATAATATAACGGTATCGTTCAACATTTCGACATATTTAAGTGTCCATTCATATTAGACGATATTGCGAATCGTCCAATAATAAGAATATTAGATTTAATAGTCATCACGTATATTGGGGATACATATTACATGTATAATAATATGAAATTTAGTTTAACATTTACTTCACTTATGTTAAATTAATTTTGTTGAAGTTTTATTAACCTTTAGACAGGCAACTATTTCACAAATAAATTTGCGATTTATGTGCAAACCGTTTTTTCGGCTTAATTTAATAATAAGAAGCCATACACATATTTAAATACATAAATTCATTTTTTATAAGGTTTCATGATTTAGTCAACCAATCTAACTGCTTCTGGACTCCATCTACTTAAATTCACAAAAAGTGATTATTATGACAATAATAATAATGTTATTATATTTTGTATAATAATTATAATAATGTTATAATATTTATGTATATAAATAATAATAATAATATATATAGATTAATATATATATAATTATATATTAATTTATTTTATTTATTTTTTATATATTTATTTATATTATGATGAAATATATAAATATATATACCGCTGTTATTAAAAATATTAAAATAATATGTGTAATACATTTTTAAATATATTTATAAATTTAATAGTACTTATAAATAATATTTAAATTTAATTGTCTAAAATATTTAATTTTTATATAAATAAATTTGATTTAAATGATATTTTTCTATTCTATATATTATGTTATATTGTAAAACAATATAATTTATTGCAAAGCACATTAAACTCATAAAATATAGTT